CTGTTAACTTAGAGAACATGTCTAAAACAGCTGTGACTATCTCATATTTATTGTTTGGGTTCCCTAAAACCCCATTTGGTTTGCAAAATGCAGGCCATACATTCCAAAGATTTATTCATCTAGTACTTAGATGCTTAAGTACAAAACTTAGACTTTTGTGTTCCATTACTTTGATGATTTACTTGTGGCTTTAACAAATGAAGATGAGCACAAGAGCCACTTCTATTTGATTTTTGATAGATTACTAGATGGATAGATTACGAGATTTGTAATCTCTCTATTTAGTAATCTATCATGTATTAAAATTAAATCCTTCTAAATATATACTGGGGAAGTCATCAGTATCGTTTCGTGGTTGTTAAATTACTTCTTATCTTTGACCTCTTCCTGAAAAAAGCTGCAGTAATTTCTAGCTTTCTGAAATTTGCAATAATATCTAAATTAAAGAGTTTTATAGCAGTGTTGAATTTTTATCGATGATTTTTGCCTAATGCAGTTACTACCTAAGCTCCACTTCATTCTCTCTTAAAAGATTTTAAGTAGAATGATAAACTTCCAATTTCTTTGACATCAAAAACAGCTGCAGCCTTTAAAAAAATGTAAAACTGATCTAACAAATTTAGTGATGCTTGGTTACCATGCCCATGGTCAGTGGTTGTCATTAATGGTTGACGCCTCAGATATGGTTTATTGGAGTTGCTTTGCATTCGCTGTTTGATGAACATCTTCAACCACTACCTTTTTTTCCCCCCAAAAAAACTAACTCCAGCTAAAACTGGCTATTGGAGCTGCTTTGCATTCACTATGTGATAAACATCTTCAACCACGAGCTTCCCCCCCCAAAAAAAAATTAACTCCAGCTAAAACTAAGTATAGCATACATGATAGAGAATTTCTCACTATCTTCTGCACTATAAGGCATTTTCAACATAATCTTGAGGGACATGTTTTTACAATTTTTACAGTTCATCACCCTCTCATTTTTTATCAGAAAAAAAAGTCAGATTCTGCATCACTTTGGCAGATTAGGCATGTGAACTATATTATTTAGTTCAGTACTGACATACAATATGTTCCTGGACCAGAAAAGATTGTGGCAGATATTGAATTGAATCGTGTTGTTCACTGAAAGAAGGTAATTGAAGTTACAAAAGATAGAATTGTCTCCTGGGCATGTATATTGTGATGTAAGTGGTGATGAGATGTGTCCCTTTGTTTCCAGCCAACTCCGGAGAGCAATATTTGATTCATTCCATAGACTTTATCATCCAGGTATGCAACCGACCAAAAGACAGATTCTTTCTCATTTTGTTGAGCCTTCTATGTCAAATGATTGTGTTACTTAGACTTGTGCTTGCAGAAGTCCAAAATTATGCATCATACTCATAGTCCATTGTAGTCCTCTGCTGTACCCAGTCAATGTTTTGAGCATGTGCATTTGTATACAGTTGGGCTTCTGCCATCCTTGGAAGGATACTCCTACCTTTAACTGATAACTGCAGACATTATTCAATGTCAGTGGTTTAGGAGTTTGTTAAAGTTGATCAACTTCTTTGGATCATGTAGCATGCTTTATTTTCTCAAATTATTTCTGCGGGTCTTATTCCACAGAAATAATTGTGGAATTCTATGGGACTTTATGGGTCTTATTTTTTTCTTTTCTGTCACCATCGATAGGACAGCTAGTCCTCTGGTTTAAGTACTGTTTAACCTTTGGATCATGTTGAGGAAATAAAAAGCACTTGAGCTTTTCAGAGATTTGACAGTATAAAGCAAGGAATTTCAGAACAGGGACAAGAAGGGAAAGTACATGATGGGACACTGCTATTACAGTATTATAGTATAGGTTGGGCAAACAAATATGATAAGGTTAGGGTGGGGTTACAAATACAGATGTAAGGTTGAAACAATAAAAGTGTTTAAACATTACATGTCAAGTAAGAAAAATTTATAACAAGAATGTTTATGGATATATATATATTATGGCTTAATACAGCTGAATTTGTTATATGGTGCTATACTAGTTATATTTCTATATACTAGTTACGTTATGATGCGCCTGGCAGTATTGACTAACTATCACAAGTCTTGTCTCCTTGTAATAGTGAGAGCATGGGAAGTGCAGACCTTAATGGATATTTCATGCCTGTATTTGCATGTGTTAGTTGCTCATATATGTAGGTTTTACTTTCAAAGAGCACGAATATTGCATTTTTAAATGCTTTTATTTTACTAATAAGAAATAGATAAAAGTAATAAAATGTAAGTAAAAATTAATGTGCAGGATTCAGGAATGATGACAGTTCACACACACTATTAGTCTCCGGCGTTTGAAGAATACATTATTCTCTTATGATCCACAGCTAGCTTTAAATAATATGATCAGCTTGGTTAAACCAAAGGACACTCAAACACCAAAGAAGACCGTCTGTCTTCTTTAACTCTTGAAGACAAGCAAGCCATCCGCTCGCATCTGCTACACTCCACTCTCTTCCACGTCTGGACGCTGTCTGGAATGCTTCGCACTGCGCTAGGCTATGATGACGTCACCACGCTGGTAATTCGCTAAGTCAGCATCAGTCGTCGATGATCTCCACACATATGACAATTAACTGTTGACTTCTGCAGATGGTAGTTGGATGAAAATGGGCAATCAAATACGAGTTGTCAGTTTTCAATATGCCAGTCTTGTCACATATGCAAAGATCACTCTCTATGAAACCAAATCAATTAATGCCACTCATAAAAGGTCTCTTGACATCGGCTTTTGACAACTACACTTTGACAACAACGCTTTTGAATGAACTTGAACACCCTTCTGCCTGTGACTTTATTGTTTTAGTTGTAGTTTATATTTATTATATGGGAGATTTTAGATGAGAAGCTGACAATTTTATACTGAAGATACTAACATTAATGTTTGTTGGAGATAATTTGGCAACTTGGTCAACTATGTCATTGCCAAAGACTGTATGGAGCATTCCTTACTGTAGCTTGGATGTTGAGTTATTGCCAAAGAAACATTAAGTTTTTTAATGTGCATCACGATAGGATTTCTACATCAATTCAACTGCATTGTCTTCAGATTTCAAGCAGAGCCTGTAAAGATGCTGAAGTAGGAACCATCAGAAATGCAAAAGCTCAGTGCCAGTCACTAGGCATTTAGTTCCTCTTGAAAAGAGATATGGTTTAGTTTTCTAGCTCATAAAGCATATATTTCTGCAGATGAGATGATCTTCAGATGAAATATAAATTTTCATCAAACTTTTATATTTTAGAAAGTATCTGCCCTATTAGACGGCAGCCTATGAATTTAGTTTAGATCAGCAATCATCATCTGGAACAAATTTTATTTCCATGCATCTGCCAGCACTGCATATAGAAGCACATGCTGAATCACGAACTCACATGTACCTCTAACAGGTTTCATTGTAGACTACGTCGCATGTTCAAATGATTTGTACTATAAGTGGAATCAGCATAAAATTTGTAAAGTCTGGCCCAAATAATGTAATTAAGGGGGGAGGAAATATGAAGCAAGCTTCAAGTTAAAAATAATAAAATAGACTAAGCAAGAGAACAACTGCTCTGCAGCAAGGGCTTTTGATATAACAAAGAAGATAGTAAGAGACTGAAATAAGAATGAAGGTACTATTAAAAGAACTTAATGTGAACACTGAATGACTTTCTTGTACAGCCTATTAATTTATATCCCTTTCCCCCCTGCATTTAATTTAAATGTATTTTCTCAAATTATGTTAACTTAATTATTTGATCTATCTCCCAAGGCTAGTTAGAAGTGATGTCAAAACTTCAAATTTTGCCTGGAAGCTTGGGGTCCAAAAACAGATCAACCTCATTTCAAACATCCTGTGCAGAATGGAAAATAACACCAGCAAGCTGTAGTACAGGTGTGAAAAAAGGTGCAAGTAGGAGCGATGTCTGGACTACATGGTGGATGTGGCAGAAGATTCCATTCGAGTCCGTACAGAGTCCAGCCGGAAAATGCAGACACACATGGTCTTGCATTATGTTGATGAAACATTACCTTTTTGTGCCGGAAATCACTTTGACATTTTTCTGTGATAGCAGTGTCAACACGGACTAGCATCTCGCCATCCACTTTAATGTCGAGGGATTTACTTTTTCTCCAGGTACTGTTGTGGATAATACCACAGCAATGCCACCAGATACAAAGCACAATATTTTTGTTAGTCAAACTGTACTTTGTGATGCTGCCGATGGGCTCACCTTATGCAGACCAACCTCCTTTTTGGCCTACGTTGTTGAATTAAATCCACTTTTCATGACAAGTGATGATCTGGTCCAAAATGTTAGCATTGCATTGATATTCGAGCTGATTAGTGCAAGCCCAAACACATCTATCTGTCCTTATCTGCTTGAGTCAGTTCATGGAGCACCCAGAGACTGAACTTGTACATCAAGTTTATGCAATACTTTAGTGCAACTAATGGACACAGCACTAACATCTAACTCCTTAGCAAGCTCTCTACTGGTTGCATACAAAATCTTCGCCCACAAGTTCTCACAGGTGTGCTTCTTCAACATCAGTAGGCCAGTGAGAGCACTCTGCTTCTTGAATTTCATAGTCCCCGTTTTTGAACTTTTGGAAGCAAACCTTCACAGTGTCATATGATACAACATTAGTACCTAAAGCTATACACTTGATTTGGTGACATTCTGTAGCTGACTTTTTGCAACAGAACTGGAGGTAAATAATGGTTATAATTTGGTAGTGTGATAGTTCCATTTCAGACACCTTGTACTTAATGTTAATCGTAATTTTTTAACCTGTTTCCATAAAATGGAAACAGGTATTAACAGCCACAAAACTGTGAGATTTAGTATAGTAGTGCTATATAACTCAATAACTGTGACAACGCTTGATTATTGTTTAGCTAATACATCATTAGTTAGTTATTTTTAAATTTTAAATCATCTATTTTTACAATTTTTTATTTAACTTGTGCTGCTTCCAGTTTCAAAATATGAGGAAGAAACAACTCAAGCAAGCTAATGAAGAAGAAGATAAAACTATCAAAAGATTAGAGAAAATGTTAAAGCTTAACAAAAAGAAGAAAAAATGTTTGGGTGATCCTTGTCTTGATTGTATCCTTTCCCTCTTTATCTGATAACTAATTGTAGGTGTTCTTCAAATGAGTAAGATTCTTCTCTCTGATTTCTCATTTGATAATTTTATTTACATATGTATTTGTTCTGTTTGCCCATATATCATTATAAAAAACAATTATATCCAAAAATTAAGTGTAATTTAGAAGTTTTACATCTAATTCTAGATAGTATTAAGACAAAAGGAGTTAGAATCCATAATATAACTGTATCCATGTGTGCTTAAGAGAATTCTATTCTCGTCTTTAGAAGATGTATGTGCTTTTGTGTTTTTAGATGCATTAAATATATCATTATGTATATTTATTGTTTGAAATAAGCAATAAATGTGCATTAACTTGTAGCGTTGCGCGCATCCAACTTGCACGCAACCAAGAGGTGACTGTGAAAACTGGATAAAAGACAGAGTCTTGTTAAAGGTTTAAGTCCCTTTTTATTCAACGTAAAAATTACAAGGCGTGCTCTTGACGCTCACAAACTGCGCCAACTCGGCGGTCAAATAAAAAATAATAACCTGAAAAAAGAAACTAAAGACAAGACTCTAACTACGAGGCTCTCTAAAAGTAACTAACCTCACCGCGTTTTTACAATACCGCTGCTAATTCAGCAAACTTGAATATCACTGTTGAACGATTAACAATACTTCCAGGCAAGCACACAGGCCGAAACGCGGGTTCTTCAATTTCTGGCCAACTACCTCCGCGCTCGTGAATTAAGAACAGCACACCTTGAACTCGTTTCCTTTCTATTTAACTCAGAATACTTCCGCTGATAATTTGAATCCTTGCGCGTTCTACTAAAATTTACATACTCTGGCATTGGCAATTCCAGGGGAAAAGTAAGGCTTGACAGGAAAGATAGTTTAAACTTAAAATAAATGTTAGTTAAAATAAATATAAACCCTACAAACTCTAACAACAAGAAATATTTTTCTGACACTGTTTTTATATGAAGTATACATTTTTCTAATGTTCTATTCAGAACTAAAAAAATTATTTTTGGTATACTTTTATTAATAATGACTGTAAAACATAAGAATAGACTGAAAGAATTAGTTGTTGAATGGCTTATTGTTAAGTCTGCTTTTATTTATGAACATTTTGTAGTTCTTTCTAATTATCCACTCTAGCCTGAGAAATATTCATGAAGTAGCACCCTATGTTGCGAAAACAGGCAACCTATGACTTCACCAAAACATGTTTATGTGGCCACCCAATGATGTGCTATGACAGCAGACAAGCGTTTAAGAATGTATGGATTTCCACCTTCTGTATTTGATGATCATTTTCTAATTAATGTTTGTACATTGAGTACATTTTTTTTTTTGTTTCTATTGCAAGGATTTGTAATGAGACTCTGGAATCTGTTAGTTGATGAAAAAGAAGGTGTTGCTTTCTATAGAAATATGATGTTTTTTCCAACAGCAGTTAATGCAAAAATTTGCATTCCATGAATTTGTACTTCTGAAACAAGTGAACTTTATGGATTGAAATTTGTGCATGAAGCCAAATTTGTGCAATTTTTGGATTTTCTTTTTTAAGCAAAAACAGATCAGACGGAAAGAACAACCCCTTCCCCCCAAAAAAGTTATACATAAATTTCTTAAAAAGGTAAGTGTTTTATTACGGATATTTTTTGTTGTTTAAAATTTGATTGATTCATTCCGCTTTATGGATGCTTAATGCACTGCCATTTTCAAAATGGCATTTGCCTTTTGCATATTGGCAAAAAAAGTACGTGCCAGCAAGTTGGAGACTTTTTGGAGAAGGTTATGGATAATGAAAATCTATCATTTTTTAATAGGTTTTTACCAATTTTACACTGTAAGCTAATTTATAACTTACTTCATAATAAAACTAAACATATTATTATAACTTTTAAATGCTGGAAAACATGATCAGTAAAATATTTAAAATTGTGTATTTTCACTATGATTTTGAACTCTCTCTGTATTGCAAAGACTTTAATTATTTTGTATATTAAGTGATTGTACCCCTCTGGTTGTGTACAGCAACTTAAAATAATCAGAACTATGAATTTTGTCCATGTGTTTCTGTTATTTTTATGAAGAATATAAATAATAGTTATAAAAATTATAGTGAAACTGCTGTTTAAACTTTACATTTTATTAGCAATCTCACATGGCCATTGAGAAGTACTGTAATGTTACTGAGAAGCATATAACTTATACTCTGTTACTCTCATTTTTTAAAAAAAGTACATGCTATTATAATTTAAAATTCACATTATGTATATTGTATATTCAGAAATTATTCATTATGCAACTATTTTCCCTTTTTTCTTGATTTTTTTAAGAGTGTCTCAGAACATAAAAAAAATCAGTACTGAAAATCACTCCTTCTAAAGCAATTACTTTTACAGAAGATCCAAATCATCTAGAACTGTGGTCATCTCACAGAGGATTTTCTTGCTCTTTGCAATAGGATCCAAAAGTCTGGAGATTGTGTTCACTTCTATGTAGTTAAAGATACATCATCTGAAATACATCCTGCTTTCCCTTGCCTTTATAATCAAAATGGTTTAGCTGATGCTATAAGCTGCACAGGGCAGATTTATTGCGATTAATCATTTTTATTGAAGAAATGCATATTTTTTTTTTTTTTTTAACCGTTGGTAACCCTGTAACTTTAAATGTTAAACGATTTGAACAAAACACTTACAGAATGATTCTGTGAGGGTGAGATCTTACGTTTATAAATGCTGCTGGCATTTTAAATAAGGTTGATTTGATTTTAGTGTGGTTAAAATAGCGTGTTTGTTAAAGTCATTTTGAATCCTTACAGATGTTACCAAAGTTATTTATTGGAAATTATCTCTTAACACATTTTTCTAGAGCATATTACTGACATATGTCTCAGCACATTATCTGCCATCTTTTGATTTCTAATGCTACTTTTTTGACATTCAGTAAAGTGTGCTAAATGCCAGAGCTGGATGATCCTTGATAGTGATTGTGGTGTGGTCCCTTAAGTATAATATAAGAAAATAAAATTATCAACTTAATGAGAGTTACTTTGTTTGAAAATAATGCATATTTGCTTTAAATTAATCAAGTAGTACTATTTTAACAAATAATAGAAAAAATTAAAATGATTACAAAAAGCCTCATAACTGGGTGTGTTTTGCTTTAAAATAAAATTTAATAGCAAAAACATTTTTTCTGAATATACTTTTTCTACTTGCTGATTATTTTAACTTGGCATTTTAGGTTTTTTGCTTGGTAATTGTTTTAATTTGTGAACTCTACATTAAAAAAAAATAATGTTGTTAAGGTTCTGAAGATTTTATTTAAAAAGTAGAGGGCCTGCCCTTTCAGAGAACTGGGCCCCAGTAAATTTGCACCTCCCCTTTATGGCACTGAGTTTGCCTCTTCAATATGGAGACAACCCCTTCCCATCCGAAAAAAATAAGCATGGGCAATAGCCAAAGGAATGTCATGGTGCAGGTTTTTATTTTATTCTAATGACATTATCTGGTCGCACCACTGGTAAGTGTTAAGACTACTGAATACTGGTAGTCTGACCTGATTTGGGTTTGATCCCAAGCGAATAGGCTGTTTGCTTAATTAGTTTTCATGGTATGTGTAATGCAAATGGGAAACAATTTCCCTCAGAAAGTCCTCCATGAAGGTAATCTTAGGAAGATAGCTGTCATGGGTTTGTTATATCCAACATAACATAACATAATATTAACCATTCAGAAGTTTTTCTTAAGAACAGAACTGGAAACAAGCAGCTTTATACGGATATTTCACACTTTTTTTGGCAGTCCATCTGTCTTAAGTATCTTGAGATATTTTGAATTTGTGGTTTCTTCTGCATGATGATGCACTTGCAGATTGTGCCCTAATTGCCACAGAACTTCCAACCAAAAATATTACTGTACTTTCACATCCCAGCTGTTGATTGGTATTTTTCCCATTGATGAAGCAAAATCTTCAGGATTCTAATTTCTCTCAATGAGTGAAGAAGTAGCTGTACTGAGAAGCTTTCAGTATAGCTACTTGGTTGTAAAAGAAGGTTTAATCCAATAATTCTAGATACTATATGAGTATTGGGAAAGTTTCTCATTGAACATGAGGATAATTTTGAGAGTTTGTGCATTGCTATTTAACCACTTGCGCTAAAAAGATGTGCCACGCATGTCGAGATGTTTTTGTCTCAAACCGTGCTCAAAAATGAAAATAACGTGGTGCACACGTTGCCTAACAACGAGATTGTTTATTTCTCAAGTTACAGCTCTGGATTGCACTCGCAGACGCGGCGTAAATGAGACACTTTACTGCTTGTTATATTGTAGCATGTGGCACCGCAACCGTGAAGTTTAGTTGTAGCGCAAATGGTTAAACTAAATTTATGTCAGTGAATTAAGTAAGAGCCACATTGAAGGAAATGTTTTGGGTTTTCAAAAGATTTCTTGTTGTAGTGCTGTTGCCTAAAGCCATATGGGCTGAGGCAGAAAAATACAGGGTGTTTATAAAGTCCTGGACCCATTTTTATGTTTAATAACTCATAAAATATTGAAGATATAAACAAACTTATGACATTTATTGATGGAATGACTTATATATTTTCCTTTTCAGGTTTGAATATCTTTACTTTTGTAAATATTGTCTGTGCGTGTGGTTAATTTCAGATAATTTCATTTTCCAGTCTAAATATCTGTACTTTTCTAAATATTGTCTGCTTATTAATTGCATTTAAATCTTTCTGACACTGTTAATCGCCATAATGTGCACATATAGGGATCTGAAAACCCCCATGAATCCCGTAAGGTACAAAGGGATTCCCCAAAGGTTAATGTGTGGTGTGGACTAATGCACGACTGAGTCATTGGGCCTTTCTTTTTTACAGAAAAGATGGTCTCATCAGTCAGTATACCTTAGACATGTTGGAAAACTTCGTATTTCCACAAACTAAGAAGAGCTTCAGCCACATGTCTTTTTCCAACAAGATGGTGCACTACCTTCATTGTGGTGTATCATTGTTCGTAGTTCTTTGAATGACCATTTTATAGGAAGATGGAATGGGCGAGGAGGTCCAATTCCTTGGCCACCTAGATCACCCGATATAACGCCGCTGGACTTTTTCCTTTAGGGATTTATAAAGGACAATGTTTACAGGAGGAGAGTGTTGAACATTGATGACCTAAAAGCCAGAATTGCAACCACAATAGCCTTTGTGGATGCCGACTTGCTTGCCGGTACCTGGCGTGAAATCGAATATCGACTTGATATTCTCCGTGCGACAAAGGGGGCACACGTGGAAGTTTATTGACAAGGGTCATGAAACTTTTTGAGTCTATCTAACCATTTATGGTATTAATTTTAATCTATCTTTATTATTTTATGAGTTATTAAACATCAAAATTGGTCCGGGACTTTGAACAAATGTACGCTGCTGGTCATTAATATTGCAACACCAAATGGGAATGATCTGATGAAAGTCAAAATTACGTGAAAGGAAGAAGTGGTTGGGATATGCAAATGTTAGCATTTCAGTGCATTTAGATGATGCAGGAGGTAGAAACGACATCTGAAGTGCTGCATAAAAGGAACGTTGTGTAGTGGATTTCTCATTTGGAAAGCACTTTGTAAGGTCAGAGTTTGCTCAGAATATCATGTTATGCTTCAAATAAGAAGAAATGCTTACCAGCAAATGTCGGAATCCGATAGAGCCAGGATCGTTGCCTATCACGAGTGTGGATTATCTTTCCATGATATCGGCCGTTGCACTGGTCGACATCCAGCCACTGTCATGTGAATATGGAATCAGTGGGTTACTGAGGGTCATACTGAACGGCTTGCAGGATCTCAGTGCTCTTCCATGACTAGTGCCCGAGAGGACAGACGTATCATGAGGTCAGCCCTTCAACCACATCAAAGACCATTATTCAGGAAATGGGCATGTTTGCAGCATGCCCAGTACCTGCTTGTACGGTGCATTAACGTTTGCAGCAGTGTGGACTATCAGCACAGCAACCATTACTTCGGCTTCCCTTGACAATGCAACATAGAGAGAGATGGCGACTTTAATGTATCGAATGACAAAGCTGGATGCAGGACTGGCACAATGTTTTCTTTTCAGATGAGTCCCAGTTCTACATGCAGTATTCTGATGGCTATATACGTGTTTGGAGGCTCCGAGGAGACCGCACGTCATCTGCTTGCATTCAGTATTGGCATTGGAGCCATGCATCTGATGTGATGGTTTGGGCAGCCATTGGGTACATGACGCACACATGTCTAGTTTATATCAACAGTAATTTGAACGCATATTGTTACATTTCTGACATTTTACGTCCAGTGGTTGTGCCCTGTCTTCAAGGCCTGCCAAACGCCATCTTCCAACAAGATAATGCAAAACAACATGTTGCATATTGTGTTTTGACCCTCCTCGATACACAGGATATTCGACTGCTATTGTGGCCTGCATGGTCTCCAGATCTGTCACCCATTGAAAACATCTGGTCATGGGTTGCTGAGAGACTGGCCCACCACCCTTCTCCAGCTAATATCATTGATGACGTGTGGCATAAATTTGAAGCAACATGGAATGAATTGCCCTTTTCTGTCATCCAAGCCTAGGTTGACACCATGCCTAACCGGGTAGGCTGAACACTGGTAGTTCGGTCCGAGGTTCGAATCCCGCGAACGGGCTGGCTGCATGGGCGTTTTCGTAGTTTTCCCCATGTGTAACGTGTATACGAGCCAGTTTCCCTTAGAAAGTCCTCCACGAAGGCATCCCTCCCCTTAGGCAGATAGCCCTCGAGGTTTTGCCATAATCACACACACATACACTAGATGCATAACCGGGTAGGGGGCCGTTTTATCTGTCAGGAGTGACAGCTGTTTCTACTAATTTTGCACCCATGTAAACCCCCAAACTGCTTATAAATTTAATCATTTTGTCTTCATGCCATACTGCTCACGTGCAATAAATATCTTTTTTGTATTTTTTTCCCTTCATGGTGTTGCAATTTTAATGGCCAGCAGTGTTTTATTCTGAAGGTTTTAAACTGTTCATGGTAAGGAACTCTATGCAAATCCCAAACTTTAAAAGCTTGTAATATATAAATATATATGAGATAAAAAAACATGCAGATCAAGATTCTAACTTTAATTTGCAATAGCTTCTAACTTTTCCTTTTCGATCTGGTTAATTTTCCCTTTCTGTCCTAAAATAGCAATTGCTTATAATAAATCTCTCCAAATTGCATCATATCAAAATTAATCACCCTCACATGATCTTTACATAATGCTTTAGCCAATAGTAATCTCAAATTTGAGAAACAAAACTTAAAATTAGCCAGTGGGGACAGAAACGAGCGGAAACTAAATCATTTTGTACCAGCCCTTCACTTTAGATGTGTTGCATTCTGTTTATTGCTTCTGTTTTGGCAAACTGCTTGCTTCTTTATGTATCTCCATGTCGAGAACTTCTAAATTATCTCTCTCTCTCTCTCTCTCTCTCACACACACACACACATATTTATGTAAGATAAAAAATATGAAAGTGAATAAATTTTATTTGGCTATTACCTCTTTTATTTTTTATTAAATTTGGGGACTTCCTCTCTGTTTCTTAAAAATAGTGCTATGAGTCTAAACTGCGTCATTCAAATTAATCATGTGATCCTACGTAATACTTAATGCAGATACCCCTTGACCAATCTCCAAATTGTAAACCAAAACTTTTTAAACTCAAATGGAAACTTTTTGACTCCGTCCCTTCTTCCTCTGAATTACTGCGACACCTTCATTTATGCTTTCATCCTGGCAAGGGAGCTTTGTGGCTACCTCCTTTGTTCACTGAATATGGGCTAAGCTAACAAAAATGTAACGTGTGTAACACGTCCGTCCATATGTGAACCAAATATTGTCAATCAAAAATTGCCTTCCTTAGTAATAAAATTATCTTGAATTCAGCCATGTCTGTCTTGCCAAGTTTCTTCTCTAGGCATCTAATATGCCACCATCAAGTTCCAAATCATTTATAATGTGTATATGTGTGTGTGTGCAGTACAAAGTCCAAGATTCAGATTACTTGGGACTTCGGCGATTGCAGAATTCAGAAAAATTCCTGATCCTAGATCATCAGTTTAAATCTAGAAGGATGACATGTAGAAAAAATAAAACTAAATTATGAAATAGTCGTTTATGAAATAATAAAGTGTTTATGAACTTAAGGAAATCTTTATTTAAAAAAAAAAAAAAAAAAAAAAAAAAAAAAGAGCTCAGTAGTTATTTATTGTACTTTTTAAACATTTCTTTCAAAACAAATTGTTTAAACTTTTTTTGTGTGTGTGCTAATATTAATTCTTTAATTTTATAGATAGATATTTCTTGTTCAGATATGAAGCTCCATTGTTCAAGATTTGTAATTGATGTGCTGAAAATTCTACTGAACTGCTAATTGAAATATTTTCATTTTCAGAAACCTCTTTGTGAGTTTCTTCACTATCAGCAGTGATGTTTTCTGGATTAAAAAAAAATATAGATTTGGCCATCCATTTTTTGACTGCTGATTGGGGCATTGACATCACAATGAAAACTTCTGTTATGGGATTCAAAATCTTTACCAAAAAAAGGGTAAAGATTTTGCCAAGTTTTGAAATTGCACTCTCTTAAGCCCAAATAATTCTAGGGCCATTTTTTTCTACCAAAGCCACTATAAAAGACAAGTATCAAATATGCTTTCCCTTTGCACATCCTCCTTCAGCTCCAAAATTAGAAACTCTTTTCAACACAATTGAAAATTCAAGCTTAAATTTTGATAGGATAGTTGTTATAATGCAACTGCAAAAGATATTAAGCTCTATCAATTTAAAAAGTTAATTAAAAGTGCAGTTTTCTATGTTAACTGAACTCAAGTTCTTTGGAATCTTATTCTTTCCTTCTTCCCTGCTGCTATGCCAGTAAAAGAAAATCAGTATGAGCAAATGCTATGTCAACTGAGCTTAAGTTCTTCAAAATCTAATTCTTTCTCTTTTTCCTGCTGCTTTTCCAACAAAAGAAAACAGTATGAGCAGCAACCCTTGTAAATAAACAAAAAATTGTTCGAAGGCTTCACTTATTCTTTAGTACCGATAGAAATATGTTAACATCTCCTTCAAAACCACTTGGCCGAAAGCAGGGTTATCAGTCAGTTTAGTATCATTGGCTACGGTGTGATTTTCTAGCAACTTGTGTTTGAAAGTCACAGACAGAAATCTCAGTTAACTGGGAAAAAAATCATTTTCATGACACGTGTACTCTTTTTTTTTTTTTTTCTTTATATTCTCCACTACTCTTAGACTTGCTGGTAGTCCAGAGGCCCAGATATTAGATCATTCTCAATATTGGACATCCTAATTTTAGACTTTATGTACGTAGTTACACCTTTTGCTACATCTATAGTAGTTACACTTTTTGTGTTTCAAAGATGTCTGAAATTTTAATTGCTTTGTTATTATAAAGTATTTAAAAAATACATTAAAAATTTTTTCTTGTATATTTAATGTTGCAGTAGCAGCAGTTTATGCACCTTTTTCCATGTCTTCCTTAAAGGTTTATTGATATAAATATATCCATTTTTTATGCTTTATCCCTTGACTAGTTTTTAGATCTTCTTGAAGCACTAGACGTGAAAGATGAAAGCAATAATTTGTCTGATTGTTGTGAGGAATTGGAAGATCTTGCAGCTGTAAAAAGTGATGACCTTTTGTCATCTAGCAAAAGAAAAGCTAAAAAACATTCCATGTTGCCTACATCTAAGAAAATGAGGACTCTGAGAGAAATTAAGGAAGAAAAACCAGGGAAAATGAATCCTCTTACTGAAATGAAGAAAGGAAAGGGAGACAAGAAAGTGAAAATAAGTAGAAATGAAGATGCTGCAAGAAGAAGTTTCTCAAATGATTTAGAATCTGATTACTTATATGAATCAGAAAGCAACTATTCAGATGATAATGAAGAGAAGGAGGAAGATAAAAATAATTCAGATAATAAAAACAATTCTGCAAATTTAAACAGAAAAAAGTCAGGGAAGAAAAAAGTATGGGAAGATATTTATGGCAGGTTGAGGGATGAATCAGGAAATATTATAAAACATGAAAACACTAAAGATATGTCTGCACCTGATAAGTCAATGAATGAGAATGTATATTCCAGTGAGAAAAGAAATGAAGATTGTGTGAGAATAAAAAGACAATTAAAAGCATTATTGAACAAGTATGTAACATTTGCTGATGACTTTTACATTTTTGTCAGAAGTACTGTGAATTAATTTTTTCCTGCGATTTGTTTAAAAAATATGTTTAATGTAAATTATGATTATAGTCCATATCATTATTTATTATTTAGGTTGAGTGAGTCAAATATGAAACCCATTTGTAATCAAATAGAAGACATGTATATGAAAAACAGTAGAAATGGTAAGATTCCTTTATAGGTAATAAAGTGCATAGTCTGGGTTACAAAAAGTATTTAAATCCTGTGGAAGGTGTACATTGTTGAATATAAAATGTGTAATGCTAAAAAAGAAATATGCAATCCACAGTTAAAGTTATGATGCATTTTCCTGTTAAAGCAGCCTTTGTGCTTAGGATCAAAGCTAGCAAACTTGTATCATATATAAAATACAAATTTTAGTAACCAGTGGCTTATTCCGTGGCCCTTTTAATAAGGAACCATTTATTATGATTATAAAAAATTCTTGTAACTTCTAAAATAATTGGATGATAATCAATTATCTTAAGCTTCTAGGATTACTTTTACTATATTACCACTAGATACTATTTAATTTAATTACAGTAGGAGATTTACCAAAATTGTGTAATTATACTAGGAGAGTAATAAATCTGTCTGATATATATATTTAGTTTTCAAGTATTTATTAATGATTAAATAGAATTGATTAGATAATTATTAATAAATTGAAATTATGATTTAATTTTTAGGGGTACTTTTCCATTAAGAACACTGCCTAAAAAATTCCAAAATTTTATGTTTAATGTTTTGCTGGTTATAATTATCTGTTGCTATTGGAGCTAAAATTATGTTTATATGTGAGTTAAGAATAGCAAGTATTTAAAAAAATATTTTCCTGATATTTATTTCATTTTAACTAAACATTTTTTATATCTCAGTGTGTGTTGAATGTATTAATTGTAACTTAATTGAGATTTAAGTAATTGTAACATAATTTAATTATTAATTTAATAAATTTCAATATGCCATCCATTATATTTTTAATTTATCTTTGCAGAGTATCCTTTAAATTTTGTATTTCATCATTCAAAATGTATTACTTAAATCATTGTGTTGTTTGTAGTACTTGCATTTTATCAAATTCCTAATATGCATACATAAATATAAATACATAAATATAATTCAATCTTTCTGAGTTAGCACTGCTAATGGAAAGGTACCACTTACTTATTGCACCACGAAGACCATTGTAAAAGAAATAATGCTAATCAGCTGTTTAATGCTTAAAAAAAGCCATTGTTAAATTTTTGTCTTCTGATTTGTTAAACAGACTAGTGTATTGTTTTGCTTTAGGCTAATGCCACCCAATCAATTATAACATCAAGTCAGCATGTCTATTCTATGATCACTGGATCCATCTACTATTTGAGCAAACAATATCGACTAAAAAAAACAGGTATCGTCAGCCGCCCTTCAACTTAATGGAGAAAGCCATTGCCAAGATTTGTGTTAATTGCTAAAGAATAGGTAGCAAGAATGGTCTGATATAACTTGCAGAAGGATTTTTTTTAATAAGACTTAAGTTTTAATTTTAAGACATTCATAATTTTGAACTTTCATGAGATTTGTGTGAAAAATAACAAATAAAATAAGGGTAATAATTAAAATAATAGTTTTATATATCTTAATTTTAAAAGTTGATAAATATTTCAGGTAATAACTATTTTGCATATTATATATGAAATCCATGTAGCAAAATATGAAATGTGAGAAAACTTGATTTGCTTTCAAATTGTGAGTGCATTTTTAATCTAGTAGTTTAATCTTGAGGTCAGTAAATAAGCAACGTTTCCCAGGTCAATGAAGTCAATATTTCAGGTTAACAAATGATATTCCTCAACCGGTGGAATATTTTTCATTGAACTTCAAAATGGTGACCTCAAAATGGTGATAATATGCATACTGCTGCCTTTCATCAATGCAGACATCTATATTAAAGCATGTTCTGCCCTGAACTAAATAAGATTCTCACATGCCAATACAACAGAGTGTACACATATTCTTTGAATGTATATATCTGTGACTGCATTAGGGTTTGCAACAGTTGTATATTGACTGTAAGCGCTATCAAAGGAAGTCGCAATCCAGCTTGCAAAATGCAAGAAAACATCTCCTGACTTACTTTTGAATTGCAAGTTTCTGATAGTTTAAGCATAATGGTAGGAAGCAACAGTTCTGGGTTCAGCTCTAATTGATGAAGTTGTCATTTGAGGTGATAGATGATATTCTTCTGAAAAGTTGGTATGGCCACAGTATTCATTCAGTGCCAACTTAGGTAATAAATGTGCTAAGAATTTGGTTATTTCAAAGCTTGTAAATGATGTATCAAATTAATCAAAACTGAAAATTAATTAATTCCTTTACATGATTTCAGTTCTTGATGTCCATTGCAAAATTTTATGAGATCTACCATCTCAGTTGCTGATAATCTAATGCATTTCTAAAATATTTTTCTCTGAAATTTTTGTGAAATTATCACTTGTCATATGTATGCTAGTTATTATTTTGTTTAAAGAGCAGATTAAATTGAAGTGGTCTAAAATAAAAATTTGTGAAATAAGCTACAATGGGATAACACATCTAATCTTTAATATCATTATGACATTTCTTGCTTACTTGTTCATGTTTTCTCAGTATTTGATTGCAGAATTATCAAAGAATATCTGTTCATAGAATAAAAATTTTGAATCGCAATTTTTTTTTCTTTCTGTTTATATTCTGCTTATGAGTTATAGGAAGCTGTATATTATAAATTATTATAAATATTTACTTCAGTTTTAGTGGTTTTTCAGGCTTTTTTTGAACATTAGTAATCATATAATTTTCAATAGTGAAATTTATTATGGACAAAGATTTGTAGTAGGATTGCTATATACATAAGTATCGGGCTGTAACCAAAGTTTCTTGCTACCACAAACTGGGTTCGTACAGTCCTTAAGAGTCCTTAAAAGTCCTTAAGTATTTTGGAATCGATTTTTGGTCCTTAAAAGTCCTTAATTTTTGGCCAAAATCGGCAGAAGGTCCTTAATTTTAATCATCAGAAATGTCTGTCTGTTTTTACAACTGCCATTTTGAGTGTGAATTATCATTTTGGAGGAATATATTTGGCGATTCACTGACATATATGGTTATCTTTTGAATGGGTTCATGGGTTATAATTTGTTCCTATTTCTAACATAAGTAATTCTAACTGGAGTTTCTAAGCAAGAAGTGAAACATAAGCATTTCGGAATTCATTTTTTCTAAGAAGAGCTCTTAGGCCCATATCACACGGCGTTTTGTTTCACACGAACAACTGTTTCGGACAATTTTTCTGCCTGGTTTACTATTGAAAGAAAGACGTGCGACTTTTTCCTTCCTTTCGAAAAAAGTTGCAAGTTTTTTGTTTTCAATGAATCAGCTATCAGCGCCGAATGCTGTTAGCTGGTTTGTAATGGAGAACCAGTTTTCCCTGTGTTAACCCCAAAGCGATTTGTGGTGATTGGCTGTTGTGACAAAGCAGAAAAATTGTTCTAAACAGTTGTTCTTTCGAAACAAACCGACGTGTGATAGCCTTTTGCAACTTTTTTCAAAAGGAAGGAAAAGGTCGCACGTCTTTCTTTCAATAGTAAACCAGGCAGAAAAATTGTCCGAAACAGTTGTTTGTGTGAAACAAACACCGTGTGATATGGGCCTTAAACAACTTTTTGCCTTTATTAAACAGTTCTGAGTTTCGTAATTTATCAACATTTGGGCGATTTTAAGACCAGTTTCTATAAAAAGTTTTTAATTCCGAGATCTGGGAATTTTTCAACAATTGTCTTTAAAACATTGTAACGTTGATAAATTTCACTAAAATAATAATAATATATTGAAATTATATTTAAAAATAACATTAAAATAAAACATTTTTATTTTTCGCAATCATATTATAAAGTTTTATTTTGGCAACTTATAATACAGTATTTTGAGTCTGAAAAATAAACAAGGTATAATGTATAGAAAATGTGTGTATAAAGCACAATTTTCAAAACAGTTTTTAGCAAAAGCAAAATTAGCTATATAGTTAATTAAAAATGTCTTTTTAAAAATTTTTTCATAGTAAGAGTTTTTTCCGTGTAATCGTGCCAGAATATTCAGAATATGCATCAGTTTTCTCTATAAAATTATTTTTACATTTTTTTCTCTCCTTTTTTTTTCCAAAATATTTCTGGCTTTTTGCTATTACAGAATTGGTAGAGATAATTTTTCTTTAGAATTTTAGACATTGGAGCTTGGAAAGTTTAAAAGAATTTGAAGGCAAGATTTATAGACCCACAATTCTAGAAGATTCTAGAGATATGTGACAAAATAAAAAATGTCTCCATATTATTAACATGTAATGGATGTATTTTACACAAAGTTTGCGATGAATTTCATACTTTTTGGAGAACGTCTAGAACAGGGATGTCAAACTCCACTTGGGCCAAACAAACAAGGTTTAACTTTAGGCAGGCCGCAAAAAAAAAAAAAAAAAAAAAAAAAAAAAAAAAAAATATTCATAGAAACGTAGATTTATTTCGAATAATACAATAATAAACATATATATATATATGTATTATAGAAAAGAACAAGAAAAATTTAATGTTTACGTCCTGATACTTGACATCTCTTCTCTGCTATTATCTTTCCTATTTCGGGAGAAATTTTGTTTGCAGTGATAACTTTCAACGCTGACCCAAGGTGAGCATCATTAATACGGTTTCTAATAGGAGGCTTATTATCTTTCATGACTGAAAATAACTGCTCGCACCGATAAGTGCTACCAAACATGGAAATAATTTCATATGCGAATTTTTAAGTATTTTCAAACCTGGCTGGTAAATATTTGTAAAATTCAGGCATGCCCACTTCAATGAATTTTGCTTTCAAATTTGAGTTGCATTGAATCTCGATCACCTCCATTTGCATATGGCTGGGTACTGAGTCAATACTTATTGAGAAAAAATCCAAGGAAAAAAAAAAAAAAGTTTTCGAGGGAACTAAAATCATTAAACCTCGTTTCAAATTCAGTTGTTAAATTTGCAATTTTTTCTGCGTATTTTTGATACAAACAAGTATCATCTAAACTTGATTTGTTCATGCTGCACGTCGGGAAGTGCGTCAAATCTTCATTTAAAAATGAACAACTTAAAAGTTGTTTTTC